TAAACAGACGTGCTGGTGAGGTCATGGAGGGATGGGAGGCTGGGGCCCAGGGAGAGGAGCAGCACCTGAGTGGAAGCAGTGGTGGAAGCTGCTTTCCTTCCGCTCGCCCTGAGGCTGCAAGTCTGGCATTGTGCTGGGAATAAATTTCTCTTAGTCACTGAGTATCAAGCAAAAAGGAGGGTTGCTGCATATTTCCTATGTATGACCATTCAGTGTGTGTAGGGGACTTGCGTCTTGTAACAGCAACAAGCTGCATCCCTTTCCAAAGCTGAAGGTGCCCCCTGAGCACAGGCAGCCGGCAGGGCAGGCACTGCGAGGACGGGACACGCGCCCAACCAGACACTCGTCACTGGGCGAGTAGCAGCCTGACTTCTTAATGCTACGAATGCACGAACAAGAAGATGACTGACAGAAACGTGAACTCTAAGGCACAAATGGTTAGGGGCTGAGAACTGCCCACAGAGAAGCGGCGGTTTCCTTCTGTTCTTTCTCACACTGTCCTCAGTCCTGGCGCCTTGGCTTGCTGCTTTGGGAAAATGCCTCAGAGTGGGCCTCACTGATTCTCTCATCTCCCTCAGCAGTTTGGTCCAACCCGACTCTGAATACGTACAGGCTGTATTCACTCGGGGTCCAAAAATGGAAAGAAATAACAAGAAAATGAATAACATAATTTACTTACACATAATTTTTAGACCCAGATACGTTTTAATTTAAATAATACACAGCACTCAACACTGGTTTTCCAAATTAGAATCTAAAATATAAAGGACCTCAAACATTTCAATCATTTACAGTCGTGAAGTATCCTACTCAAAAAGAATCCTAACCCTGAAGACAGGTCTTGTCTATTGCTGTGTAACAAGTTACCCCCAAACTTACTGGCTTATGACAACAAGAAACATTTAGTATCGCTGGCAGCTTTTGTGGCACAATGACTTGGGAGCAGCTTAACCTCATAGCTCTGGCTCCAGGTCTCTTATGAGTCTTAGTCAGTGTTGGTGACGGCTGCAGGGATCTGAGGGCATCGTGGGCAGGGGGTTATGTACACATTGGCTGACTCATGTCCCTGCAAGTTGCTACAGTTTGCTGGTGTGAGGCCTCAGCTCCTTACTCTGAGTGCTTCTCCGCAAGGCTGCTTGAATGTCTCCATGACATGGTGCTGGCTTACCAAAGAGCAAATGTTTTGAGAGCCAGGAGCCAGGGGGAAACTACATGCTTTTTAGGACCCAGCCTCAGAAGTCACATAGCATCACTTCTCTTCCTTCAAGGGGGGGAATTAAGCTGCGCATTTTCAAGGGAGGAGCATCAAATGATTTGCAAACATGTTATAAAACCATCAGTGGTTATAGACAAATGCAAATTATTTTAAATTTTTATAGCTTATTTGAAGTACAATTTATATAAAGAAAAATTCACAAATCCTAAGTGTATAGCTCAGTGACTTTTTACATGACTATATCCCTGTGCAACCACCACCTAGGTTAGATCAAAATATGTAACATTGCCGGCTCCTCTGGAAGTTTCTCCATGTGAATTGGAGAATGTGTATGAGCCACACACTGTCATCCAGGCGTGTGAGCAACCCTGCCAGAGACCCCATAATTGGGTTTACCACCAAGGGAAAGAAGGTTCACCTACCTCCTTTAGAAACAGGGGAGCTCTTAAAGCCTGACACTGGTGGTGGGCACACAGCTACGCAGAGTGGTCTCACCCTGGTGGAGCTCCAGCCAGAGGGATGGCCAGAGACCGGGACAACTGGAAATGCCCATGCAGAATGGACACTGGGCGGACACTTTCTCGAGGCCTCCCAAGATTACCTTGGGAAGAGAGTTGCACTGCAAGTTCCTGGCTCAAGCCAGTGAGATCTCCATGTTAATAGGCTTGTAACTCTTTGTCGCCTCCTTCCTGCGAGGGTCAGGATATTTGGGAAATGGCAGAATTGGAAAGAATTTGCACTGGATCTTTCCAATGGCATCTGATCCACCCTAGACATGCACTGAACAGGAGCTTTCCCACTTTCTCAGGGATTCTGAAGGCTGGGCTAGGTGCACTGTGAGGCCTGCTGGGGGCCTGATGGCTGCACAAAGCCCCTGTGTCAGGCAGATTGCCAGGACGAATGACCTCGGACATTGTGTCAAGGCTTATTGCCTGGCCACTAAGTCCTGGGGAAGCTAAGCAAGAAAGGTGACACCAGGGTCCAATTGGGGAACATGTGTGGGCACCTCAAGGCGGGCTAGCTTGGGGCCTTGAATAGAGGGGGAGCTTCACACAGGGTCTGGGACCATGGAGGTGGGAAGTTGGTTGGGTCCCTTTAGATAAGGAGAGTGGGGCCACGAGGACAGGTGAGGAGGGTACTGGAGTCAATGCAGAAGCAGAGGTCTGAGGCCTGCTGGCCTGAACCTCAGCTCTCAGTCTGGCATTTGGTCTCCTCTATCTGCTTCTGACTCACTCTGCCAGCTCCCTCCCCACATCTGAGAGCCCACTACACCACAGGCTGGACTCCCTTCCTCATGGTTGGGGTCATGGACCCTAGTCTAGCTCAGTTGCCCTCTGGGAACTTCCCTCCACCTGCACTAGGAATCAGTCTTCCTCCAAGGCCTAGAAGGGATGTTTCTCTACTTTCAGGAAGACCCTTGCTCCCCTGCATTGCACACACCTGGCTAAGTGTCCTACTTCCAGTTATGGGCCAAACTGTGTTCCCTAAAACCCATCTGTTGGAGCCCTAGCCCCAGTGCCTCAGAATGTGACTGTGTTGGATGATAAGGTCTTTAATGGGGTGATTAAGTTCAAATGACGTCACTAGGATGGGCTCTAATCCAATCTGACTGGTGTCCTTATAAGAGGAGGACATTAGGACACAGACACACAAGAGGGAGGATTATCTGAGGACACAGGGAGAAGAGGGCCGTTTGCAAGTCAAGGAGAGAGGTCTCAGGAGAAACCAACACTGCCCACACCGTGACCTCAAACTTCTAGCCTCCAGGACTGAGAGACGATAAATTCCTGTTGTTTAGCTGCCCATGTTTCCTTTATCTGTTATTCGAGGTATTTGTACCAGCATCACCCCCGCGCTGACTGACTCGCTGCCTCTGAAGGCCTGGGTGCTCCCCCAACAGGAGCAGAGTCTGAGTGCAGACACCCTGCTCTCTCCCAGCTCTGGACCTGGCTCCCTCAGCGTTTCACCCCTGCCTTCCTCCTGGGACGGTCTCCTTGCCAGGCCCATCTCCTTGCCCATGGAACCAGATGAATGACCCCAAGGGAACGGTGAGTACTAAGGAGCAGGAGAGGGGAAGTGAGGACCAGATACTGGAAACAAATGAAACTTTTATTTCTTTTTCTTTTTTCAGGCTTGGTTTGGGGGGTGGCTGCTGAGGGACAGGAAAGCCAAGGAGAAGGAAGCACAGAGAGCTGGTGGGGCTGGGGGAGGGGAGGCATGGAGACTGGGGTCTGAGGCAGACAGCAGGAGTGCGGGCGGGGGGTCACTGCAGGGCCTGCCACTGGACCCTGAGCACAGACAGCAGTGGGAGCCAGGTCTGCGGAGGCACAAGGGCAGTGCCAGGCCCAGGAGAGCCTGCAGTCTGCAGAGGCTGGTATGGAAATTGGGTCTGAGGAAGAGCAGCTGTGGGGTCAGGAGGAGATGCGAGCCTCTGGGTCTCCCTGATCCAGTCTGCGAAGTAGGTGACATTGGTGAACACACTGGGGTAGATGGGGTGCCGGCAGGTCAAGCCCCAGCTGGCCAGCCCTACCAGAATCCAGGTGTTGAGGAGGTCACAGACAAGGGGACTCCCGGAATCACCCTAAGAAAGAGAGGAGGGTTAGTGGGACGTCAGAGACTGGGACACCAAGTGGCCAGGTGGGGCTTGTGAGTCTCCGCTGTCCAGACCATACTTGGTGGTCCTCTGTGAAAGTCCAGACACCAGTGGGACACTGTGTAAAAATCACCCATCAAAGTCACCCTGGTAGGCACTGGAGTTACAGTTCAAAGAGCTTCAGATTGACCCCGAGGAAGATTCTGGATCTAAATCTAACAACACGTGAGTNACCCCCAGGAAGATTCTGGATCTAAATCTAACAACACATGGGAGGACCCCACCCTCTGCCCCTGCTCCCTGAGAGGTCCCAGAGTCCCAGGACAAGGCACTGCCCCAGGCCAAGAGGAGACAGCTGCATGTACAGGGCCTAGGAGGGCTGGGCGGTGAGCAGAGCCTGGCAGCTGAAGCCTCCACAGATCCCTGCTCCTGCCACACCCTGAGCTGCAGTAGCATATCCCCACCTGGGTTCTCTTCCTTCTTCATTCATTGAGGACTTTGGGTTGCTCTCAGCTTCTTTAGAAAATGCTCAGGTTGAAGCCTGGTGGAGGAGACCAGCATTGCTAAGGGAGCAGGCACGGCTCCCCAGAAAGCTGCTGGGAGTTACTGGAGACCGGAGATGACATCAGGGAAAGACCACCTAGTTGGAAGTCCTCTCACATCATTGGTCAAAAGGAGGCTCTCATCCTTGGGATATGCAAGAGCAGGGGCCACAGCCACACTTGGTGACTCTTCTACCCACCCATCCAACCTACATGGGGGCATTCACGGCGGAATCTGCACTTGGGAGCACAGGGTGGGAAAACAAGGCCTCTCCCACACTGTGCTTTGTAAACAAGCCCATTAGCCCATGATGGTCCAATGTGACAGCAAACCATGGAAGTCACAGGGACAGGGAAGGTATCTCATCTAGTGACGACATGAGAGCTGAGACTCCAAACAGGAAACAATTTATCTTTCTGATGCAGGAGCAGAGGGAACAGTAAGCACAAAGGAGGGAAGAGGGGACCTGCCAGGTGGGTGGGAGAAAGAGGAGTGAGGCCGGTCTTGCAGGGAGCAGGGGGCAGAGAGAATGCGAGTCACAGGGCCTATGCCTGGGGGCTTGAGTTTTCCCCCAGTGGAGAACTGTAATCCGGGGGATGACCTGACCTGTCTAGGTGGATCACTCTGGTGCCCTGTGGAGGACAGACAGTTCTGAGCATGAGTTAGAGAGGAAAGCCCAGGCAAGAGGCAGCCACAGGAGAGAGGTGAGAGATTATTGATGGGGAGTGGCCAGGGTGCTGAGGAACAGTCAGATTTGGGATGTATTTTAAGGAGGAGCCAATGGGACCGGCTGAATCTGAGCCTTCCCCACCAACCAGGCAGAAGGTGCAGAGAGAGAAGGAAGCAGGCTGAGCATGGGATGCTGGGATCACCAGCATTTCATGGTAGGTGGGGAGGTGACCAGAAGCAGAGCAGAGCAGCTGTCCAGTTTGGGGCCCAGGAAATGGGAGTGAGACCTCCCGATGTGCCGAGTGAGAGGAAGACTCAGGACAACCTTCTCTGACAAGACCAAGGCTGGTGGAGACACTGGCCACATGGCTTTGGTGGCGTGGTGGGGACACACTTGGGTGGAGTGCGTCAAAGAGACTCGATGGTGCTGGAGAAGTCTTTTGGGAAGAGAGGCAGAGAAACTGGGCAGTAGCAGGAACAGATTGCTGCTACGAGTTCACTCAGCAGTCGTGAAGAGAGACAGAGGACGGAGCAGGAGAGCCTGTGAGCGCCCCGTGTGCAGAGAGGTCAGCTGGACATGAGGCTCGGCACAGATGGAGGATGGAGAGTGTGGGACGCAGGGCTGGGGAGATGAGCCGGCACTAGTCTGACTGCTCCAGTGCTCTCAGTGAAATGAGAAACAAGATCTCCAGCTGACAGGCAGGGCTGGGCAAGGATGGCTAGAAGGAGAGAGAAGGGTTCCTGTGGCTGGCAAAGAATGACCCCCAATGATGCACATCCTCATGCCTGGAACCTGTGATTGTGATGCCTTACAGGGCAAAAGACACTGTGCAGGTGGCTGAACTGGGGATCTGGAAAGAGGAAGATTATCCTGGATCATCTGGGCGGGGCCAATGTAACCCCAAGGTCCCCATGAGGAAAGAGGGAGGCAGGAGGTCAGAGTCACAGAAGGTGATGTGACGACAGAAGCAGAGGCTGGAGTGATGCTTTCTGAGGAGGAAGAAGCCAGGAGCCAAGAATGTGTGCAGCCTCTAGAAGCCAGGAAAACCAAGGAAACATTCTCCCCCAGAGCCTCCAGAAAGAACCAGTCATGCCCACACCTTGACTTTAGACTTTGGACCTCCAGAAATGTAAGATGATAAATTTCTGTTTTAATCACCCTGTTTGAGGTGATTTGTCAAAGCAACTCCAGGAAACTGACACATGGGTTCCCCTTGGACAGTAGGACTGCACCATCATTGCCGCAGCTCTTCCCCTCAGTGATCCCAGTTGGAGTGCCCTTGGCCTTCCCCACAGTGCACCCCTAGCTCTCTGAGGCCAGGGGAAGGCCTGGTCCCTGTCTGGGGAAGTGGTCACTGTCTTCTCTAGGCCTCAGCAATTCACACAGATGAGCTATGTCATTGCCAAATGACAATGGATTCTGGACCAGCCTGGGAGACATGGCAAAGGCTCCAACAGTCCCCTGCCCCAGGGGAGCTCTCAGAAGGCAGAGGGAACATCAGTACTCATGTATGCCATGGAAAATGAGCTGCAGTTTGCACTAGCATAGAGACAGAGCAAACCGTGTGTGTGTGTGTGTGTGTCTCCAGTGGGGCAGGGCAGTGAATTCCACCCTTGTTGAGAACACAGGTGTGGACAAGCCCAGAAAAAGTACAACCCAGATAAAGGGAGGCTGACCAGACAGGAAAATGAAAGCCAGCCCTTGTTAACTACCTACTCAATGCCAGGCAGCGAACCTAAGTGGAGGCCATTAGCAACCCCATTTCACAGGTGAGGAAACATAGCTACGGTCACAGACCGAGTATATGAGAGACGGAAGACTGGAATCAAGTCTCTCCTGCCCCACAGTCTGAGCTCCAAGTCCCCCTGTGGCCCCAACTCTCCTCAAAGCTGTTTCTGAGTGCCCCATGTAGGGGGAGGGGCACTTCAGGGGAGAGAAGGGAGCTCAGGGTGGAGGATGGGGTCCAGAGCAGGCAAAGATGAGTCCAAAAGATTAATAGAGAAGATGAATGCACGTGGAATCTCAAGGACAGGCTGTGGTGACCAAAAGGCTAAGGGAGGTGGGAGGGCATCTCAGGTGTGCAGCTCATTTGTGTCCTCAGCAGGGAGAGAAACTAGAGGAGGAGTGGGGTCAAGGGTCAGACTAAGTGTGCTAGCCCTGAGCTCTGTTCACATGATCTTTGCAGCAGAGGGCAGGTGTAGGACAAGGTTGAAAAGGTCTAGACTAGGGTGACAGCCATATGGGGACTCAGGGGCTGATCCCTCTGCTCCACCTCTGGGTGCACTTAATTGTGACAAGGATGGTCCAGGGCAGAGAGCCAGAGGTCCATACCATTAGCTAGGACTGGGAACCAAGACACCTGGGTCTGCCTTTGACTAGGAAGGCAGGTGTCCAAGCTCCCACCCTCTGGCTCCACAGCTCACTGGGCAGTAATGAAAACAGCTGTCCATGAAGCCTTCCCAGGTGCATCTCATCTCTCCTGTCCGCCTTTACTGGGGCTGCCACAACACATTCCCACAAACTTACAAGAACAATAAGAATTTATTCTCTCTAGCTCTAGAGGCCAGAAGTCTGAAGTCAGGTGTCTCTGTGCCTTTCCATCTTTATGAACACCAGTCACTCGATTCAGGGCCTGCTCTAAATTCAGAATGGTCTCATCTCAAGATTCTTCTCTAATAAAGACGGCAGAGATCCTATTCCCAAATGAAGTTGCATCCTGAGGTTCCAAACGACATGAATTTGGGAAGCACTATTCAACCCTCTGCACCATCCTTTCAACAGTCCCGTGAAGGAAGCCTCAGGATCCTATACTATGAAGGACACTGGATCAGAAGGTACAGAGACTACCAAAGGTCACAGGGTAGAGACACATGGTAGAGCAGTGTCTCTGACTCCAGAGCCCTCAACCCCCCTCTCATCCATGGCACCATCTATGCAGGAGCTCAGAGCACCGATGCCAGCTCAGGAGGCTGGGCCCTGGGGGTGCTGTGGAGGCAGGTTTGGGCTTGGGTCAGAAGACCGTGTCAGACTGTGCTGCCTTCTTTAGGCTAGCCATTTTCCCTCTCTGGGCCTCTTTGCCCACCTATAAAATTGGACATTAAGAGAGCAAAAGCAGATATTCGCAATCCATATGCCCAACAGTGGACTCGTATCCAGAACATGCAAATATACCAAGAGCTACAAAAAGAACAGGACAATCCAACAGAAAATGGGAGGGAAAAAACTTGAAGGGAGACTTTACAGACTATTCTGATGACAATAAACATGAAAACATACATAATTAGCCACTGGGAAAATGCAAATTAAAGCAACAATAAATAAGAAAATAAGAAAGCACCAAAATAAGAAAGCATGGAAGGTGCCAAGTGTTGGCAAGGATATAAGCTCATCCACTGCTGGAGGGAGCAGAACTGGGGCAACCACTTTGGAGATGTTTGGTGACACCTGCCAAAGCTGAACATCCACGCACCTCGGAATCCAACAATTCTACTCATGGGCTTCTGTGAATAGAACATGAAATATACAAAACACTTGGAAATGAAATAAAATGAAGAGCTTGGAAACTACTAAAATACCCATCAAGAGCAGAACTGATCATAGAATTCAATTCATATGAGAGTCCTATAGAGCCGTGAGAATGAACCAGCTATAACCGTGGATGATGTTTGGATGGTCTCACAGGTATAATGTTAAGACACTAAGTTCATTAAACTACGTACTTAGTAATTATATACTCTTTTGAATGTACATTATACTTCAATAAAAAGTTTAAAATATGCCTCAAAAATAGATGCTGTTTGAGGGTCCTTCCAGCAGATGCCATCATAGGGGATGGACGTAGGGAGGGACTAGCCTGGGGACACTGCTGAGGGGTGGAACCCAAGAAAGACACTGAGCTCAGGCAAGGGAAGAAGAGAAATGGCCTCACTCACACTGCAGATGGCCTTTCCTGTCAAGAAGTCCCCGGTGTATAGCATCTCTTCGTACACAGAGTAGTTCTTGTCTTTGCTGAGTCTCTGTCCATATAGCATGTTACAGAACTTGTTCTCCATGAGGCTCACCTTGCCCTCCTGGAGAGGGAAGGGTGGGAGCAGTTGTCCTGTGAGGACAAGGAGACCAGTGAAGTTTGCTGCAGCCAGCAGAGGCCAGGCTGCTCTGAACCCCACTCTGTCCTACTG